CTTTTTTTTTTTTTTTTTTTTTTTTGTAGAGACAAGGTCTTACCATGTTGCCTGGGCTGGTCTCAAACTCATAGGCTCAGGTAATCTTCTCGCCCCCATCTCCCAAAGTGCTGGGATTACAGGCATGAGTCACGGCACCTGCTGCAGCAAGTTTTCAAGTTCTCTGAATCCTCATGCAAACACAGCACAACTAGATAGTAAAACCAAAAAACCGCAGGCAAGATTTACAATACAACTGGGACAACAGTCTTATAAACCCTAAAATATAAGCAAGTAGAAACAAACCACCAAAAAAGTCACAAGACCTACATGGTATTAGAGTCTATAAGAAAAAGAAGACAACAATCACGTGACATCTGGTGGCCCTGAGAACAGGAAAATCTTCAAATAACCTCATATGTTTGTTGGAATGCAACAATTTGACCAATTTTAGAATAGCAGTAGGGCTTTTCCACTCTCTAAATGCTAGGTAAAATGCCAAGAGTATACAGTAATAAAAACTAAAAGGGCTAGAGCTAACTATTGACCCCAAGGGTTGTGCCAAGAAAGTTGATTAAAACCTTGTTTCCCTTGGCCAGGCATAGTGGCTCACACCTGTAATCCCAGAAATTTAGGTGTCCAAGGTGAGAATACTGTCTGAGCCCACAGGTTCAGGACCAGCCTGGGCAACTTGGCAAGACCTCATCTCTACAATAAATCAAACAATTAGCTGGGCAGGGCCGTGTGTGCCTGTAGTTCTGGCTACTTGGAAGGCTGAGGTGGCAGGATTGCCTGAGCCCAACAGGTTGAGGCTCAGTGACCATGAGCATGCCACTGCCCTCCAGCCTGGGCAACAGAGTGAGACTCTGACTCAAAAAAAAATCCTCATTTTTCAAGAACTAAGAGTACTGAGAATAAAACCTTGTTTCCCAAGAACTAAGAGCATTGAGATTAGAATTGTCATAGGCCAAACAGCAAATCAGAAAGAAAGACATTAAAAAGATTTCTTTTATACGGGTGAAGTCTAGGCTCACTTTATAACTGTAGTGTACATACATGATATATCCTATACCAAACTCTCCACAAAACTGAACCTTCTTGTTCTCTTAAGTAGCTGACTGAATGTGAATATTTGAACTTAAACATAGATGACAGAAAATGAAAATGAGTGCTGGGACAGTAATCCTCAAAAGGCAGTACTTTCCTTGTTCCTCTGTATCCCCAACATTAAACTGTTTTGTGGGTAGCAGTCTAAACCTAGAGAGCTTTCCTTCTAGGGAACCTAAGGGAATCCAGCTGACTCAGTCCTCATGTACGAAACTTTAATCCACCACTATGTGACCATATGAGGACATAGAACATTCTGTATTAAGTTACTGAATTAAATGATTTCAGAGCTGGAAGAAACCTCAGAGAGCATCTAATTCAATAGTCTATTTTTGATTATCTAGCTTAATCTTCTAACCAGTGATGAAACTCCTCCAAAAGGTATGTGTCCCTCCACTAACATGTGAGAAATATTCCTCACTTGAATACTTATCTCTTCCTGTGAACTTTCTTTAAATCCATGAAAGTCACAATGTCCATGTTTTCTGCAGTGTGTGCCCTATAGTCCAGATTGATGAAAAAATCAATTTTTAAAAAAACATCATTTAACAGTGTACCATTTTAGCATCAAAAATGTTCGTTATAAGTGAACATTTGCTACATGGTCACCATACCTTAGAGAGTTTCTCCTCTGGCTGGGGTTCTGTAGTCAGAGCAGTCCCTCCTTGCGCCTCCATTTCTTCTACGTGTCTATTCAAAGAAGTTAATTTGGCCTTAGCATGAAGTTTTAGTTTTTTAATTTTGGCATCAGAAGACTTTCTTTCTTCTTGCCAGAGAAAAATGAGGATAAATTCATAAATGTGTATTCACCACTTATCCGGCACATAACAGAAGCTATTCACTTATTTAGTTAGAGACAGGGTCTAACTCTGTCACCCAGGCTGGAGTGGAATGGCATGATTACACCTCACTGCAGCAGCAATACTCTCATCTCAGACTCCCAAGTAGCTAGGACTACAGGCATAAACCACCAACTCAGCTGATTTTTTTTTTTTTGTAGAGATGGGGTCTCACTATGTTGCCCAGGCTGGTCTTGAACTCTTGGCCTTAAGTGATCCTACCACCTCAGTCTCCCAAAGTGCTGGGATTACAAGCATGAGCTTCCACACCTGGCCCAAAAGTTGTTTTCAATAGGCATAATGCAACACTATTAGGGAAATAAGAATTCGATTCTCTAATAATTTAAGTGAAAGCAAAAATCTAAGTGAATGGTGTATCTGTCCTTTATCAAATGCTCTGCAAGAAAGGATAAAAATAATAATACCTGAAAAGCGTCATCTTTCTGCTGCAGTTGGTCATCCTTCTGTCTAATTACATCTTTTAGACTCACCACCAACTGCTCTGCATAAGCCAGATGCTCCAGAACATCCTGTTGTGCAGTAGTAGTAAATTCCATGTCCGATTTCTGAGGTGATTCCTAGGGTTTAGACAAAAGATTGTCAATGTACCAGGGGAAAGGCATTCACTTCCAAACAGGAGATTCTTCATTCCACTTTCACCTTCTGTTTTGCCTAATTCATATTCTTAAGATTCTTTCTAACTCTGATTCAATAGTAATAATCATTATAGCAACTGCAATGTATTAAGTTTTTTATAAATGCTAAGCATTTTACAAACATTATCTCATTTACAGCATTATTATTCTAATTTTACCAAAGAGAAAAATCATGTGAAGCAAAGATCATAAACTATTAAGGATAAAAGCCCTATATTTAAAATTAAGAGAGTAGTTGCATAAAACTCTCCTAACCACTGCGCATTACTTCTTGTTTGTTTGTTTTTCAAAAAACTAAAGAATGTCTTTTGATTCCTTGTGTTGTCCTTAGAAAGAAACAATACAAACTATACTGGAAGTAGTAAATGAAATTATAATAGCAAACGTATATTCTCAAACCCAAAAAGTGTTCCAGTTCCCCCCATTTGCCATTTAAATTTTTCCCTTGTAACAAGAATAGCCAATGATGAGAAGGACTTAAACCAATCTGGCACTGAGCAAGTCCCAGGAGTACAAACAAGAAAGACCCTTCAAATCTCATCTAGTACTTTTTTCCCATCACCATGGCTTTAGGCTACAAACTTACTGGAAAGGGTCATTTATAAGGTTTCAATATTTTTCTGAATTCTCAATTCCATCCAGCACCAGAGAGGCTGTTCATTCCTTTCTATATTAAATTATTTTACTCAGAAGAACATATAACTTAGGTCTTACTAATTTAAATCAGAACAGAGGTACTCACAGAGTATAAGGAAGCATTCATATTATGAATGCTGTTATATCCAGACAATTCATGATAAACAGTTTGTGCTAATCCTGATAATCATTTCAACATTTCTGTAGGAAAAGAGGGGGAAAAAACATATGAATCAGTAAAAATGGAGATAGACTCATCCTATACTGATAACTATATAATTCATAAGTGAAAGAAGAAAACTGTGCAGGTGACACATATTTGACAGTCTGCAGCATGCTGGTGTCTTCTAAAAGGTATTTGAGTATGTATGGCCATACACTGTTATTTTCAGTAGCAGTCGCATAGATTATCATGACTATCACTAATATTTTTTAAAATAAAATTCAAGTATATAGTCGTTAAATACAAATACATAATTGTTAATTACATCTTAAAGTTTAACTTTAATGCCCATTCTTTCATAGCAGTTTTCTTACAAGCATTAATTATTTTAGTCTCTCTTTCTCTGGCTGTTACTGTCTCCCACTTTTTTATGTAAAAACCATAATTTTGCAAAATTTTTATGTGCCCCACAAACACCATTCTTTCAAGACGCTTTCCTGATAAACCATGTGGTTTTGCTAAAAACTTAAACACAAACGTAGAAAATGTATAGCATTAAATGCATATGTTAGAAAAGAAAAGATAATTCAATAACATATGCTTGCTTCTGTAGGAAAATTGAAAAAGAATAAATTAAAACCAATATAAGCCAAAAAAAAGTAAATAAAGATTAAAGCAAATATAAAATCTAAAATAAAAAAGAGAAAAATCAATAAAACCAAAAACTGGTTCTTTTAAAATAAAATTGGCAAACACTAGTCAGATTGACCAAGAAAAAATAGAAAGGACACCAAATTATTGACATCATAAATGAAAGAAGGGACATCACTACTAATCAAACATACATTAAGAGATAATAAATACTACAAATAGACCTTTGCTCATAAATTCATTTATATAGATAAAATGGGTCAATTTATTGAAAGGAACAAGCCATCAAAACTCAAGAAAAAAAGTGAACCTGTATATATATATGGGTAGATGTGTGTGGGTGCACATATGTGATTATACACACATATATACACATATAAATATGATATTGAATTCATACTTTAGTAAAAGTCTTCTGAAAAATAAAAATTCAGGTCAAGGTGATTTCTTTAGCAAGTTACAACAAACATTTCGGGAATAATTAATACCAATTTTTTAACATCTGTGCCAGAAGATAGAAGGGAACACTTTACAATTTATTTTTCCAGACTAGCATCACCCTAATACTAAAAGCAGAGAACAGTATTACAAGAAGAAAAAAAGAAAACTACAGCCTGTGTTCGGTGGCTCACGCCTGTAATCCCAACACTTTGAAAGACTAGGCCAGAGGACTGTTTGAGCCCAGGAGTTCAACACAGCAAAACCTCATTTCCACAAAGAAATCAAACAAAATAGCTGGGCATCTATAGTTCCAGCTACTTAGGAGGTTGAGGCAAAAGGACCCACTTGAACCCAGGAGGTGGAGGCTGCAGTGAGGCATGATCATGCCACTGCACTCCAGTCTAGGTGGCAGAAAGACACTCCAACTTAAAAGAAAGAAGAAAAAAGAGAAAGGGAAAAAAACCTGCAGACCAATATTCTATAGTTTAACTTATTTTACTAGAGCAACACTGCCCTAATACTAAAAGCAGACGAAGATATTACAAGAAAACTATAGAACAGCATTCCTCATGGTCATAGTCAACAAAATATTCAATATACTCAACAGAATATCAGCTAATTAAATCCAATAATATATAAAAGACTAATATAGCACAACCAAATGAGGTTAAGCAAAGCAAAGTAAATAAAATCAATGAAAATCAATTGATGAAATTCATATTAATAAACTGAAAGGAAAACTATATCACATCAATAGATTCCAAAAAAAGCATTTGACAAATTTCAACAGCCATTTATAATTATTAATTCATAATGAGAATAATTCATTCTCAGCAAACCAAGAACAGAAGAAAATGTCCTTAACCTAATAAAGGGAATCTAAAAAAACCTATAGCTAATATTATACTTAATATTGAGATGCTGAATGCTCTCACTAAAAGAGCAGGAGCAAGGCAAAGATGTTGTTTCTTAGTACATCTATTCAACACCATGTTGGAAGACCTTGTCAGTGCAATAGATATGAAAAAGAAATGAGAGATGTACAAATTGGAAAGGAAGAAATAAAGCTGTCCCAATTAGCAAAAGACATAATTGTCTTCAGAAAACTTTCCTTTAAAAATTCTCCAAGAACTAATGAGTGAGTTTAGCAAGTTGGCAGGATAATACAATCAATATATAAAAGTCAACTGCATTCCTATTCCAAAGAATAAGTTGAATTTGAAATGAATACAATACCAATTACAATAGTACTGGGGGAAAAAAGAAAGAGGATGACCTGGGTAGAGAGTTAACAAAAATATGTGCAGGATTTGTATGCTGAAAACTATTTAAAAACCAATGAAAGAAAATTTTAAAAGCTAAATATATGTAGAAATGAGCCAGATATATGGATTCAAGACTTTGTGTCGTTAAGGTATCAATTCTCCCCATTTTAATCTATAAAATTAGTACATTCCCAACATAAATCTCTGCCAAGCTTTTAGTATAAATTATCAAGCAGACTTTAAAATTTATAGGAAAAGACAAAGAAAGAAGAACTTATAAAATTACAACTACAAGACAGTACAACACTGGTGAAAGTATAGACAAATAGATTGCTGGAACAGAAAGGAGAGCCTAGAAAGAGACTCACACAAATAGAGTCAACTGATTTTGGACAAAGGTACAAATGAAATTAATTTGAAAAAGGACAATTTTTTCAACATATGGTAGCAGATCAATTAGACATCCTGGTAAAGTGAATAGTGACACAAAACTCACATTGCAGACAAAGAATACCTCCAAATGGGTCAGAGACCTAAACATAGATTGCAAACCTTTAAAACTTCTAGAAGTCAACATAAAATCTGTGGGACCTTGAATTTGGCAATGATTTTTTAGACAAATAGAAAGCATAATACATACTTTAAAAATTGATAACTAAGCATTTATAAAAATGTAAAACTTTTGCCCAAGACAATGTTAAAAAAAAGACAAATCATAGATTGAGAGACAATATTTGCAAATAGCATCCAGTAAAGAACTTGTATCCAAAACAAATTTTTTAAATAAAAATGTCTTAAAAGACACCTGCGTACCATGTTTATTGTCTCAATATTCACAATAGCAAAAACATGGGACCAACCCTACTGCCCATCAAAAGTGGAATGGTTAAAGAAAATGTAGTACATATTAAGCAGCCAGAAAGAAGAACAAAATCGTGAACTTCACAGCAAACTGGATGGAGTTGGAGACCGTCATACTAAGTGAACTATCACAGAAACCAAGAACTGAATACTGTATGCTCTCACTCACAAGTAGCCCCTGAACATGAGTCCCATTAGCACAAGGAAGGGATGGGCAGTCACTGGACTCTGCTGCGGGAGAAAGGGAGAAGGGCAAGGGAGAATGTGACAACACAAAGCGTACCTGGTTCACTTACACGGGGAATGAAGGCCAGTTAGAAGCCCAAACTTCACCTTCACATAGCCTACTTATGTAGTTAATCCTCACTTGTACTCTACATAATAATATAAAATAATAATAATCCCTTAAAGCTCAACATCAAGAAAGCAAAAAATCTGACAAATAAATGTGCAAGGTATCTGAATGAACACTTCACACACAAAAATATACATATGGTAAATAAATATATGAAAAGATGCTTAGTCTCATTCATCATTAGGAAAACACCCATTAAAATTACAATAAAATAGCCAGACATGGTGGCTCACACCTGTAATCCCAGCACTTTGGGAAACAAAGACTAGAGGATTGCCTGAACCCAGGGGTTCAAGACCAGCCTGGGCAATCTGAAAAGACCTTGTCTCTACAATAAAGTTTTAAAAAATTCACCAGGCATAATGGTGCATGCCTGTAGTTCCAGCTACTTGAAAGGCTGAGGTAGAAGGATTCACCTGAGCCCAGCAGGTTGAGGCTGCAGTGACCGTGAGTGTGTCACCACACTCCAGCCTGGACAAGACAGTGAGACTCTGACTCAATAGGAGAAAGATGACTAAATCACCAGATTATCAATGGAGAAGGCACCAGCTTAAATCTGCATGACAAACCTTACCCTCGTTTAAGGTTCTCTTCCTGCTTACCTCCCCACTACTGCCCCCAAAACACCCTTCTTTCTTTGTTTCAGTTGAAGATGGTATTTAATCTTGAACTCAAAACCATCTCTTAGAGAATACCTCTTTCCCAGGGTAGTTCTCATGTATACATAAAGGAAATTATACTTGTTAAAACATGGCAAGAAAGGCTTTATTCAGAATCATTGGCATAGGTACAGGGACTACTGCAGCAGGTCTTACAAAGGGGGAGAGAGACTTGACTCAACTCCAAATATAGCATGGGCAAGTGGGAATGTATAGCCAAGGAGCAGGATGAGCTCAGAGGATGGAAAACCAGTAAGAAGAAAGTTATATGTGTATTTGCAAAATGTTACTGTTTCAGAAACTGCTTGAAATTCCTAGAAATTGGTCAATGCTCCTCTCCCTATCCATGATATGATCTGGTATAATGTTATCAGTTTTAATTTTAGATACAATGTAAATGTTCTCTACCAAAGAAACAAACAAATATCCTTATCAATTGTTACAATAAACTCTCATCAGATCTTCAGCCATGGCCATTTTACATGTTGCCATTCTCAGCTTCACTCTGATGCTTTCTTGAAAGTTCCTGCAATCAGCTACGGGCCAGAATGATTCCTTTTCAACAAAAAGTACTGACTTTGAGACCCATGGAAAAGGTTATTGCAGGTACTCTGAGTACAGGCTTCTGATGACATTAAGTAATTTTAAGACCATACCACTGGACTTCCAGATTTCCAGAACTCTACCTGAGAAGCTTATAGGTCATGAAATTGCTAAAACAACATCAAGCAAGACCAGAAATTATTCTTGCACAGAATGTGTAAGAGCCAAGTCAGTGACTAATTTTTTTTTTTAAGTCAGCGTCTCACTTCTGTTGACCATGCTAGAGTGAAGTGGCATGATCATGGCTCACCAACAGTACCCACTTCCTGAGCTCAAGCATCTTTCCTTCTTTCACTTCAGCATCTTGAGTAGATGAGACTACAATCATGTACCACCATGCCTGGATAACTTTTTTTTAATTTGGTAAAAGCAAAGTCTTGCTATGTTGCCTAAACTGGTCTCAAACTCCTGGGATTAGGCAATCCTCTCTTCTTAGCCTTCCAAAGTGCTGGGATTACAGGCAAGACCCACCACACCCAGCCCTGAATGATGTAAGTCTTTCAGTAATTTTATCTTAAATGGCTTTAGGTTCATGTAGTATCAATAGAAATTTTTAAAAGAATATTCTGTTCCTATATTCTAAACCACACAAATTTAGCTTAGAGCAATCTCATCTAAATTTGGAAAAGGTTTGTGTGTGTGTGTGTGTGTGTGTGTGTGTTTGTGAATATATAATATTTTTAACAATACCACTGACAGTTGGATCTTGCTAAAGATCTTATTAAGCAGAAATTAATTAAAAATCATTTAAGGATGATAAGCTAAGAAGTATTGTTTAAAAGTATTGTTGATTAAAAAATAGCAGAAGTACATAGGATGAAGAACTTTGTAGAAAACTAGAAAGAAAGGAGAAATTAAATGTCAAACAAGATAAACCTCTTCAGCAAATTGGAGACCTAGAGGAAATGTAAAATTTCTGTTAAAAAAATGCACATTGGCTCATTCAGTAATCCCAGCAATTTGGGAGGCCAAGTCAAGTGGATTGCCTGAGCCCACAAGCTCGAGACCAGCCCAGACAACTTGGCTCATCTCTACAATAAAATCAAAAATTAGCCGGCATGGTAGTGCACACCTGTAGTTCCAGCTACTTGGAAGGCTGAGGCAGAAGCATTGCCGGAGCTAAGCAGGTCAATGCTGGGGTGGCTGTGAGTGAGCCACTGCACTCCAGCCTGGGTGACGGTGTAAGACTCTGATTTTAAAAAAAGGCACATTAACAAAACATTCTAAAATGAAAAAAACATAAACGGACAACTTAGCATAGAAAAGCTTGAAAAGAGGCTTATCGAGGACTTCTGGCAAGATGGCGATGGGGCAACCTGATCTGTGAAACCCTCTGCAAAGGAGAACTGCAGTGGGTCTCTGGCTCTCACCCCAGGGGCTGCGGACCCCAAAATTGCAGCCTGCTCTTCATATGGAGCTCGGCCGTTGCCACCGCTGGGGCATCTCAGAGGACTGGACAACCACCGCAGTGCAGACATCGCCGCCACCGCCAGCACATCACACCACCCGGGCCGGAGGCAATCCATGACTTCAGTCCCTGAAGCCCCTTCAGGGAAGATCTGCTGGGCTCGCTGCCACCTCTCCCACGACCGAGAAGTCTTGCCCGCAGTGAGTCCCCTGCCTGTGCCTTGAGGCAGGCATCAATCTCCAGACTCTGCCGGTTCCTGTCTGGCCCCACCGCCTCTGGGGCGAGCAGCTGAGATAGCACCACCTGCTGGTGATTCAAGGTAACAACATCGAAATGGGAGAAACAAGCTTGAAAAAGACATAGGCCAGAGTGGTGAACGGAGGGTGATCTGAACTGTCCTTCACAGCAGACCAGGGGAAACTGACCCTAACTGTAAACTAATTTACCTGCTTGAAAAGAAAGCTAGAAATCAGAACTGAAAGGACATTGGACTTAAACGAAAAGTCTCAGAGTGTGCTTCATTGATTCTGTTAGTTTAATGATTTAATTCTATTCCTACTGTATTGTTCCTTTTTTTCTTTTTTTCCTCTTCCTTTTCTTCTCTCTGTAAACCATATCTTTGTATAGAGGAACAGCACACCATAAGGTGGCTTGTTCGCTTGTATGTTAGCATCACTATATGTTTTAATTTTATTTGTATGGGAGTTGGTTCATCAGTAGCTGTGGTCTATTGTTTTTATCTGTTTCAGTATAGGTCTCTCTCTCCACTTGTTGGCACACGTTTGTTTCCCCCCTTACTCCTCTATCTCTCCACCCCCCTCTTCAACCCCCTGTCTGGTTCATTCTCTTCCCTCTGCTAACCACATTTTATTTCAGGGAGTAAACCTACACCCCACTGCATGGACAGATCCCAAGGCAGTGGGAAGTGGGTTCCAGATTATCCACACATCGGTCAATGAATACCAGGACCTGCAGATAGATTTTGAATCACAGCTCCCCCCTTAAGTAAATCTCAAAACTGCAAAAAGGACCACCCCAACCTACAGTGCAACTCCAGAATTGAACAAAGTAAGAGGGCATACATAAGAAGAATAGGAGGTTTAACAAACAGAAGTAAAACCAATCCCTTTACCCCTGAATAACAGAATTAAAGAAGATGGTGACGTGGAGGGAAGGAAAAAGTAGGGAGGGGGAAAACCACACAAATGAAGAAAAACCAAAAGAAGAATATAGGTCTCACACAGACCCCTGGGAGATCAGACACCGAGAAAACAGATTCTGGAACACACACAATGAAGAGTCCCCAGAATGATGGGTCACATGCAACAAACGAAGACATCAATACACTAATGGAGAGAATTTTAAAAAGTGAGGAGAGACAAGAGGAAAATAGGAAGGAGCTGATGTCAGAAATAACAGCAGTAAAGAATACCATGATGGAAATGAATAACAGAATAATAAGCACGGAAAGCAGAATTAGCCAAGCAGAAGAAAGAATCTCAGAGCTCAAAGACCAAAACACAGAACTAACCCAAACTGTCAAAAGCATAGAAAAGAAGCTCAAAAAGACAGAACAAAACCTGCAAGAGATGAACGATCACTTCAAGAGACCAAACCTAAGAGTAATTGGGCTTCATGAGGCAGAGAGAGAAACAGAAGCCACACTGGAACAAACATTTCATGAAATCATTCAAGAAAACGTCCCTCATCTCATCAACGATGAAAAAAATTCAAAGACAAGAGATTCAGAGAACCCCTGAAAGACAACAAATGAGAAGACCAACTCCCAGACACATAATAATTCACCTAAACAAAGTAGCTATAAAAGAAAAAATCCTAATGGCAGCAAGAGAAAACGGCCAGACTACCTACGACAGAAGACCAATTAGAATAGCAGCAGATTTATCCACAGAAACACCTCCAGGTTAGGAGAGCCTGGAGCCCTATCTTCAAAGTTCTAAAAGATAAACAATTTCAACCAAGAATAACCTACCCAGCCAAACTAAGCTTCATTAGTGAGGGAGAATTGAAATCTTTTCCAGGTACCCAATCCCTACAAACCTACGCTGCCACCAGACCACCTCTACAAGAAACACTTAAGAAAGTACTGAACACAGAAGGAAAAGAAAAAAGAACAACAATATTCTTCACGAGAATACAGGCAAAATATTAAAAACACATATAAGCCAACTCCAGAACCCAAAGAAAGACAACAAACAAACAGGAACAACTCTGTAAGAACTTTATGATAGGGATCAACTCTTGCATTTCAATTATTAGCCTAAATGTGAATGAACTAAATGCACCAATGAAAAGACACAGAATGGCAAAATGGATAAAATATCATCAGGCAACAATCTATTGCCTTGAAGAGACTCGTCTCACTAGAAAGGAAACCCACAGACTCAAAGTAAGAGGATGGGAAACAAACTTTCAGGCGAATGGAATACAAAAGAAAGGAGGAGTAGCGATCTTAATTTCAGACAAAATACCCTTCAAGCTATTAAAAATCAAAAAAGATACAGAAGACCACTGCATAATAAAAGGCTCAATCGATCAAAAAGAAATATCTATCCTAAACATATATGCACCCAACATAGGTGCACCAACTTTCATAAAGCAACTTCTAGGAAAACTAAAGAAAGATATTGAC